CTAGATGTCGCTAAAAGTTACACACTGTAGCTTTAAAGATAGGCTCTGTGTCTGAACGCTGATACTCTATCATTCTGGTTCTTTTTCCTGAAAAGAGATCCCTCGGGACAAACTCTTTAAATAACACTTCATAACTTCTATGTGTTAAATAACCAGGAGACGTGACGACAGATTTTGATAGAAATTGTAATCTTACTTAGATCAGAGAAATTGCTTCGAATATACAGAAGGTTGCTGCTCCCCCCTGGGCTCACCTCTCAGGAAGTGGCCGCGATTTATAGTTAAAAACACATTTTATTCATCTCCAGTCCGCCACGTCATCTTATTTTACATCATACACTTTAGCAGATGATTTGACATCCATGACTCCAGCCTTATCAAAATATTACACTTTGTTCTCAGCTGAAGGAACCGCTCTCATTCCATTCCCAAACCTTTGCCACGTACAGAATAAAGATTATAACTGTATATCCAGACAGAGAAACTGTCCTAATTAGATCAAAACGTCAGTTCTGACAGCAACTGGCAGCCAATACCAGGATGTAATAAACTCGCACATCTTCAAAGATAATTACCCTAACGGGCCGATTTGATCAGCATTCAATAATCAGTCTTATTGCCTGACGTGTGAATTACTGCTGATTCGTGAAGCGAGCGGCAGCAGCAGATTTCCATCGCAACGCACCATAAAAGGAATTTATGAAACGTTACCCCCTTACGTTACTGCTCCCTGAACCACAGAGACAGATTATACCGCCCCCTGCTGCTGACTGAGTGAGCTGCATGTGATGAATTTTGTCCTCGGTTTATTAATCTGTTAATGATCAACCTCTGGCTTCAGTTTAAGATGAAACGGTTTGTTTCTCCAGGAGAGAACCCCCTTGCATTCCTGAGAACCCAGCCCCAGTTCCTGCACATGAGACAGGCGATCCAGCAGAACCCCGCTCTGCTCCCAGCCCTGCTCCAGCAGCTAGGTCGAGAGAACCCACAACTTTTACAGGTAATCCTGACTGCTTAATGTGAGCGACGGCGGCACCTCACCGCTCGGAGGGCTGTGAATGAGCTTCGCTTTTTTTGCTGCAGCAAATCAGCCAACATCAGGAGCTGTTCATCCAGATGCTGAACGAGCCGGTGGGAGAAGGGGGCGACGCGCCGGAGGTCGGTGAGATGGGGGCGGCGGGCGAGGAAGGAGCGCCTGTCAACTACATTCAGGTTACACCACAGGAGAAGGAAGCCATAGAAAGGGTGAGTGAGGTTAAAGTAGGGGTGCACCGATGGATCGGCCAACCGGCCCCGATTTCATTAATCTGATTGGTCGATCAGCCGATAGTGGGAGGGAAAACGATTCTTCCTCAGTCGGTTAAACTTCTCATTTAAAATTTAAACACATTTAAATCAGGGTTTAATTTTTTGTCACAGATGTATGGAGATAAATCTGTTCCATTATTATTTTAAACAAAAACTTTTTTCTTTTTTTTTATACCTTAAGAAAAACATTTTTCTAAATGTAATTATTTTGGATTTATTTATTTTTTCTCTAAATCTCCCCTGAAGCCCAATATAAGCTCTCATCACCAATGAAAATGTTGTTGCTAATGTCGATGTAGACCAATAGAAATGCTTCTTTTCTGTTCACTCAGCCCGCCCCCAGAAGTGGAGAGAAGGCGATCTGGAAAATGAAGGTTTCAAAAGAATGCAATTCATAAAATTCCATGTAAAAGAAAAAGATTAATATAAACAAAATCAATTTAGCAAAAAAGTTGGAAACTATTTTGTAAGAAAAGTAAAAATAAACCTTAGGGGATAAGACCTTTTCAAAGTTTTAAAATCTTAGTCTGATGTAAAAAAAAAAAAAAAAAAAAAAAAAAGAGAAAAATATAAAACTGAAAATTTAAAAGAAGTTAAAAAACAATAATGCGTGAAAAAAATTATTTGAAAAGAAAATGTTAAATATTT